ACGCCGACCAGAACAAGAGCACCAAGGCCGGCAGTACCAGCTGCCACCGTTTTCGCCGCCGTCCCCGCTCTTCTGGTTCTTCGTTCCGCCGCGAGAGGGCGAGCGGCGGCCTGGAGTTGCGAATAATGATCGAGCGACGCCGTGATATATCACCAAGGAGGTTAGAAGTACTAGGAGAGGGCACGTTGCAATACTGGTGAAGCCTAGTCATAAAAAAGTTTAAGCGATGTTGTGGCCAACGTGACCATAGATCTGTCTGGCTATTGGTGCGCGTGACATGTCACGTGTGAGATGGATGGTTGATTGTAGAAGGACTCCTTGCAGGCTTGCGGGCGCTCCGTCCGGTAGGTTTTATCAGAGCGAAGGCTAGCCTGTGGTGTACTCTAGCACCCCATAGCTAGACGAAGGCTAGCTATGGTCACGTGATGTGGTCACGTTGGCGTGGTAAGTGAGGAGAGTAAGGAGGAAAATGAGAAAGAGGCGAGGCATCAAGGGAGCATGGCTTGTGGAGGCTACACGGCTGCCGTCATGCCCTCTCCTACGCTTCTATCATCCTTGTGTAACACCCAGTGGCGTCAGAACAGAGAAAAGAGGGGGGGGGGGGGGGGGATCGCCCGAACTCCCCCCTCCCCCCCCCCGTCGCTTCTTCTCCTTTTCAGATATTTTTTAGTAAGGGCGGCTCGCGAGCTCGACAGTTCGCAAATTTCTTAAAATACCGGTTTTCAAAATATTTCGCGGTCAAGAATTTTCGAGATTCCGAGTGACATGCTAAATATTCATCATCATGAAATAATTATTCGAGGCGTCAATTATTTGCAGTGTCTTTAAAATCACGAAATTCACGAAAATAACGTCCTCGCGGAAATGGACGCTTTTCCGAATATTGGCTTGACAATACATGGCTAGAAAATTAGCGCTTTTTGGCCGGAAGTAGCACGTCAGCGATATCCCGTTGACTCATTGAGTTGCAGTGACTTCGATAGTGGCGTCCCAAAAGTCTATTTTTCCCATTGTGACATGTAGTACCCCACCTAACGCTCCAACGTCACCACAAAGAAGCGCTCTACTCTACATTGGACTATATACGCGAAGAGAGATAGGGAAACAGGTCCAGTTACTGTCCAAGCCATATTTCGGAAAAAGGTAGATTAAGTCCTTTTATAGGAAAGTGAGTCAATCGACTAAGTAATCTTCGACGTACAACCAGGCATGCAGTCTCGCACAACTGGAGCAAATCCTTTTGTGCGCTATTCAAGAGAAGCCCCAAACTGCTGAAAAACCTGAGAGGAAGTTAAGATCGCACGCTGCTGATTTTCACCTGGAAAGCCTTTCAAGGCAGCTGAACATGGTTCAATCACTGACAAGCGGTCAGATGGTCTTTGTGAAATAGTTGTGTCGTGCTCTGGGCAGACAAGTCCTAGAGGTCAAGAGAAGGATCACCGAAGTGATGCGCCTTGCGGCGCTTATCATGTCAGTCCCAGCGTCAGCGGCATCGGCTGACCGAAGTTTCAGCGCACAACGGCGTATCAAAAATTACCTCAGAGCTACTATATGTCACAAAAGCGACTGACTCAGACTATATACGTGCAGCAGGTGATGCTGCTGCACGTACATATAGTGAGCGAGCAGTAAAACTTGATCTGTACCCTATTATGAGAAAGTTTGTGTCGAGGACGGCTGAACGATGAACCTTTTTCTTATTTAACGCTGTTTGAAGACGTCAACATGGGAGAAAAATAATTTCTCCACAACCCAAAAGCGGAAGGACATATATATTTGTTCTAAATAAACGTTTGTGGGTGTTTCGTTTTTACATTTCCATACTGTCCAAACTGTTTCATGCCCCCCCCCCCCCCCCCCCCCCCCCCCTTTCCGAAATACTTCCGACGCCACAGGTAACACCGAGCAATTGAAGATCGCCGGCGACGTCCCCCTTTGCCAATTTCGGCGCCGCGCAGTGGGGAACGGCGGGTGGATCACTGGGGCGCGTGTCAATCCATCCCGGCCCTCCCATTCACGCCGCTTCACGGCGACAGTTTGCCGACGGCTCATTACGAAATATTAACCCACCTTGGCCCACCTGTCCATGCCGCTTCGCTGCTTCCCGCCGGCTACCCAAGTACGCCCTAGCCCTGCTGTCCCACACTGGACCTCGGATGCTAAGTGTTACGTCACGCCGTCGCTCTCTATAACCAGCCAATCCTGTGCGGTCGCCGTTGCCCTGCGTCCGCCTCTCGAAATAAGCGGCGGGTGTTTGGGTGCGCGCTTAGGACGCCCTGGAAGCTCCTGCCATCGGCTTTGGAGACCTGTGGACGACGCACACGGGCTGCGGTTCCGTTCTTCGGCCTGCCACGCCGTTCTTGACGCGCAGTTACAATGTCACCGGGCCCTAAGCGCATGGTGTCGTCGTCCCTGTATGCACAACATGTATGCAGAACAACGAAATGGCTCTGTCGTTTTTCGCGCTTCGCGCGCACGTCCTTCGTGTACACGCTGACCTGCTTGCACCAGCGAAAAGAGGGGTTTCGGGAATGTTCACCCCGCGGAAAAGTGCTGAGGGGCTGCATTCATCATGTTTCGTTAGAGTTGTATAAAGCTTAATTGTATAAAATAATTTATATAAAATATAAATGCTAATTGTATAAAAACTTCGTACCCTCGCTTCCCCCTATGGGGGAAGCGACCTTACCCTAAAGATCCTTACAGGGTCTTTAGGGTAAGTAAACAAATATAACCACTGAGCGAAATGCTAACGTATTTCTTCAAAATTCAACGTTGCAGCAGCAATTTTTTTTAATTGTTATTCACAGCGTGTTTTTAAAAATAATTTACAATGCTTATTTGTTTTGTTTTTCTCACCGCAAAAATAAACAACGTATCGCCGAACTCTCATTCTCCACCCGAAGGTATATAGCACTAGAGATTCGAACCAGATGCCAAAGTTTGAGCCCTAACCGCGTTATCTTATTCAAAATTTTAAGTGATTTTCTCGAATTTTCAATGAAAAAATGAAGCCCATTTTCCGCTCGTTTTCGGTAACTGGTGCCACAGAGCTCCATGCATTCAAGAGCTCTGTCGGCCGCCGTTTTCCATTGAAAATTTAAGAGTATCACTTACAACTTATATGAGGTAGCGGTTAGGGCTGAAACTTTGGCATCTGGTTCGGATCTCCAGCTCTACCTTTGGCCGGAGGATGAATAAGGTTAGAAAATAATCCTGTAAATTTGGTTTTGGGACACCCTGTATTTTCGCGCTTGACTATGTGCATCGGGGGGGGGGGGGGGGGGGGGGGGGGGGGGGGGGTTCTTTCAGACATGACGCCTTTAACTCTGCCCTCCCAGTTGAAAAAAAAAGTTATATATATATATATAGGGTGACCCAAGTCGCCAGGCTCGATCTATAATAGACCGTAAAAATTGACGCCTGCACGTAGCAATCTAAACTTTTCGTCAAAGGTATATTTCACATGTCGGTTTTTTCTTGTAAAATTACAAAGCGTAGCTCTCTTTCTGTAAAAAAATAGGGCCAAGAAACTTCACAGGGCCTACGGCGGGCGGCGACGCAGACGACCAAGTCGAGTAGCGGGGTGTGTTTGACGTTCGTATTGATAGATGGCGCTACCTCCTTATGGCGACTAAGGTACCTTTAATGGCGACTAGAGTTCGGGGGAGTAGGTAGCTATGTACAGGAACTCTAATGGCGACGGCTCGCGACTACCATGGTTTATTAAAATGATCATAATTTTTTTTTCTAAATGTACCTTTGGTTTAAAAGATAAATGTTGACAATAAAAGCAAAACTTAAAGTAAAAAAAAAAAAAAAAAACGCGTCTGCATAACGAAGGCGCTTTTGCTGCCAACGGATTTCGTCTGCGTGTCGTCTGCTTTCTTTCGCTGGTCGGCTACATCTTTACACGCTGCTCCCAACGCCATCTATCAATACGAACGCCAAACACAACCCGCTACTCGACTTGGTCGTCTGCGTCGCCGTCCGCCGTTGACCCTGGCAAGTATTTTGGCCCTATTTTTTACAGAAACGGAGCTACGCTTTGTAATTTTACAAGAAAAAAACCGACCTGTGAAATACACCTTTGACGAAAAGTTTCGATTGCTACGTGCAGGCCTCGATTTTTACGGTTCATTTTAGATCAAGCCTGGTGACTTGGGTCACCCTATATATAGGGTGTCACAAAAGAAAATTTACACGGTCTTTTTTACCGCAAAAATAAACTAGGCACCGAACGCTCATTCTCCACCCAAAGGTAGAGCTAGAGGTCACAACGAGATGCCAAATTTTCAGCCCGATCCGATAACTTAATCAAAAGCTATAAGTGATTTTCTGAAAATTTCAATGAGAAAATGCAGCCCATTTTTGCCCGTTTTCGGTTTCTGGTGCCATAGAGCCCCATGCGTTCGAAAACTCCGTCGGCCACCATTTCCCCATTGAAATTCTCAGAAAATCAGTTATAACTTTTGATTAAGTTATCGGATCGGGCTGAAACTTTGGCATCTGGTTGTGACCTCTAGCGCTACCTTTGGGCGGAGAATGAGCGTTCGGCGATGCCTAGTTTATTTTTGCGGTAAAAAAGACCGTGTAAATTTTCTTTTGTGACACCCTGTATATATATTCACTAAAAAAAAAAACAACAATAGAGCGGAATGCATTGTTCAAACTACCTTGCCAGCAGCAACTGTTTCCGTGCTAAGCCGTTAAGCTCTCCCTTCATATCGCTCCGCTCAACATGACCTAGTAGTCGGAAATCATTCAAACGCGTGACTAGGCAAATCTGCGGAAACCTATATCTTTTTAACAATCGTGATTACGGTAGAACTCGACGACCAGTGGCGTTGACGAGTGGAAATTTACTTGCCCGCTTAAACTGAGATGGTAGACGGCAACGCCTACATGACTAGCAAACTGCAACAAGAAAGCAACGATGCAAACGAATACGTCAACACCGCGACGGGGGCGTGACCATCATGCCAGAAATGTCTTGCAGAATGCGCCCAACTTGGGACGTGCTCACCTACCACGAACCTCACAGTAGCTCGGGAGCAAAGGCTGAGTGCGGTCGCCAACTGCCTTTACAAACTTCGTTCAAGCAAGCCGCTACAGTCATGGCAGAAGACGACATTGCCAATGCCAAGTTGCAGTGCCATTCGTTCCTGGAGGGGCTCCTTGAGGACGATGACGACATTGAAGAATTTCGGCGACTGAGTCTCGAGTCCAAATCATTGGCAATGGGCGTTGGACAAGGAGACGATTCTTTGGAAACTGTCATCGTACTAGATGACGGAACATCGGACGATGGTATCCAAGGCATCGACACCGACGCGGCCCTGCTGCGTGGATCGCCGCAAAGATGCTGCTGTGGCGACCGCAGAGGTCTAAAGATGCGAGAGGCATTGCGGGATGAAACCAGCGGTATTCTTGTCGCGACGGGAGGGCGGTGAGTGCTTTCACCTCGGAAGGTTTCTTTGCTTCTTCATCTGTAGTTTTCTTAATCTATTGCCATTTTGTTGGTAATAGGATCCAAAGGCTTCGTTACCTACAAATTCACTTTAGACATAAAAAAAAAAGTTATATATTATTGTTTCATTTTTTTTATCATGACAGTGAGTCGGCCAGTGTGGCGGTAACGCTTTTTTTTAGTAACGTTTTAACGTACTCGTTACTTTTCCAAAGCAGTAATGGTTAACGCACAGTCAGCAGCAAAATTTGCTGCTGAACGCCGTCTAACGGTGCGCCGGAGCAATAAAACGTCACGCTTTGCGCGTGCGCGCCCTTCGTGCTAGCATCGTTTTCGCTCCGCTTCCGTCCGACGCCATGGCCTCCGAGATCGGGATCTCGGAGGCCATGCCGACGCACTCCCGATAACCAAAACCGGCGCTAGGGGCGCAAGTTCCCGCTTCACCAGTTGCCATGCCGGGCGTCTAAACCAACGCTTCTTTTTGCGCCTGTAGGTCGTGCGGCTGCGGATGTGACGCATTTCGTGGCGTTTTTGCTGTTTCCAGGCGCGCTTTCTGAGTCAGAACCGTGCGCTTTGGTTTGCACGGGCGAAACTTCGGGCGAGCGCGCACGCGCGCACGCAGGCACGAGCGCACAAGCAAAGTGCAACTGCGACAGACTGGCCGGCCAGACGGCAAGAGAAAGAGAGAGAGAGAGATCGCGTTGTCATGTTGGAAGAGATTAAAAGGGGGGGGGGGGGAGGGGAGGAGAGGGCAGCCAGACGGCGGGAAACGCGGAGCCGGAACTAGCTTGCCCTCCACCGATTGGCCGGGACACAGGAGCGTCCTACTACGTCACCGCGCGTTTTTGTGCGCGTTGAGAAAGAAGTTGAAATCAACCAACTTTCTTGTGCGCGCCCGGAAGGAGCGAAGAAGCGGCGCGACGTCACGAAAATACGTCACATCCGCAGCCGCACGACCTACAGGCGCAAAAAGAAGCGTTGGTTTGGATCGCGCTTAAAGCGCGATCCAAACCAACGCTTTTTTTTGCGCCTGTAGGTCGTGCGGCTGCGGATGTGACGCATTTCGTGACGTTTTTGCTGTTTCCGGGCGCGCTTTCTGAGTCAGAACCGTGCGCTTTGGTTTGGACGGGCCAGCTTCGGGCGAGCGCGCACGCGCGCAACAGACTGGCCGGCCAGGCCAGTCTGTCGCAGCCAGAAGGCGGCGAGAGAGAGAGAGAGAGAGATCGCGTCGTTATGTTGGAAGAGAATAAAAGTGGGGGGAAGAGAGGTCCAATTGTGGATGCGCACCCGCGGGCGCTTTTGTCACTGGCTCCGAGAAGGCGGCGAAGAAACGCGGAGCCGGAACTAGCTTGCCCTCCACCGATTGGCCGGGACACAGGAGCGCCCTGCTACGTCACCGCGCGTTTTTGTGCGCGTTGAGAAGGAAGTTGAAATTATCCAACTTTTTTGTGCGCGCCCGGAAGGAGCGAAGAAGCGGCGCGACGTCACGAAATTACGTCACATCCGCAGCCGCACGACCTACAGGCGCAAAAAGAAGCGTTGGTTTGGATCGCGCTTTAGCCGCCGCGATTGGGGACGGAGCTCGCGCGCACACCTTCGCAGAACGGGTCGCTCTCCGCAGATCTGTGCCTATCTCAAATATTCTACTCGAGATATTTCATATACTTTTGTAGCGTGAGCTACACTGGCCGAGGTTTGGCAGTTTCGCGTGGCTCGCATAATGAGTCGTGCTGCTCATGCGCGAGGAGCAGTGACGTCAAACGGCGCACAGCTGCCGCGCCGGAGCCACCGCCGCCGCGCGCTCCGCCGCCGCCGCGTCCACCTCGCCGATCTGCGCATTCCAGAGGAGTGACGTCATAGCCGCGGCAGACGCACTGGCAATGCTTCCTGGGTGTAACGGAGATGGGTCTATAGCGCGAAGGGCCGGGCGTGCTGTACAGAGCGCGACACTGTTAGTGCGAACAAGCGATCGTCGATTTTTCCAGTTTTTCTCTTTGAAACCAAGGGATGCCATCCAAGTTATTATTGCTACGGAAAGAGCTCACTTAGTTTTATATTGTAGGCGATAAAATTTCGTGCTCGCTAATACTATTTAGAAGTAAAATGCGAAAATGCGCCGATGTCGTGTTCGCGCTAACAGTGTCATGATGTGTACGTGCCTTAGAAGCTGTGTATAGTACAAACAGATATATGACCCCGGTCTGGCTACATGAAGAGCTCGTTCCGTTTTTTCCGCCCTTTGTGCCCTGGCTTTAGACATCGGAAAATGGAACATGCGCTGCACCACTAACTATCAGACTAAGGAATGTCAGTTGCCGTCATTAAAAAATTAAGAAAATACAATATGTAGCCAAGCACGAGTGTTCTCAATCAAAATAAATTTACCCGCTGTATTTGAACACACAAATAAGCAGTATAGTCTCTGCAGCTCCGACCTGCGGAACTGAGAACGTGGGAGCGATTTCGATCACTTCTAGAGAAGATACAACAAAAAAGGGGGAAATCGCATCAAGCCAATTGAAAGTTCATATGATCGGCAGCAATAATAAAAAACTGAACGAAATAAAAAATGGCCTTTTTCGATAAAGTGGGTTCAAAATATCGGTTAATTTCATTTTCGACGATATTTCAAGTTTTATATAAAAAATTCTGTGAAAATAATAAAAAAAAAACCTATGCCCCTCGATAGCTCATTTATAGGGCTACACCCGTATAGTATTTAATAAGTGACAAACATAATAACTCATGAGTTACAAGGCTCTGAAAATGTCGCCGGATTGTCAGAGGTGATGTTTGTCATTTTTTACCTCAATAAACAGAAATAGAAAAGTATTTTCCTTTAACTAAAAAATAGTCAAAATAACATAGAAGAACACAAAAAATTACTGTGAGTTTTGTATGCTTCCCGTATTCATACCAGCGTACAGAGCTGGGTAGAAAAATCACGGAGTAAAAAACAGATTTTCACATTGCTTCACTCAACATTTTTTTTTGTGGAGAGAAATATATTTTTTAAAAGATTTTGAAAAGCGGTTTTGTTCTTTCCAGAAATGGGGCAATTACATACATTTAAAAAAATCGAAAGACCCACCCCGACAAGCGTGTTCGATTTCAAAAGAAAAGCCACCCTATTATGACCACACAGAACCATTATTTTTCAGATTGCACATACTGCGTATAGAATCCATGTACGAGTATATCGTTTGCTTTATACAGTTCGTTCTTCCTCCCCAGCTCTTGTAGAATTTTTGTATGCAATTTCAGATCTTAGAAGGCATTAATGTGTTGTTAGCACGCGTCATACAGTTTCATGGGTCCTCCCCCGGTCTCGTACAAATTATAATTTTCAGTCCTTACATTATAATATACCGCTTCGGTTAAACAAGTGTATCAGAGACAACATAAATATAAACACTAAGAGAGCCCTTCGTTTGTACTTTTCTAGCATTGTATAATTTTAATGTGTTATTGATTTGTTGCTGCTGCTAATGTAAAGGGATCCCATACCTAGTCAAGCTGTTTTTAACAGCTTTTTGTGTGGGCTTTCCCACCAGAGTTTCTGGAAATGAACTCTATTTTATTGATTTGATTGAAAGTGTAATAACCCAACTAACAAACGAATCAGTTGTTAGTTCAGATTTATATCAAAATCTTTTGCGGCAACTTTAGTACAACGGTGCTTTGTCCCTGCTGTTGCTGGTACTTATACGGAAACCCGCCGTGAAGCAGCACCTCTCCCTGTTGCAGTCACTGCGGGTCGTCACAGTAATCGTTCCATTTCCACACAACGAGCAACACTTTACTATTTACACCGCTGAGAATAATATATCGACATTTGAAAGCTTGCAAGGCCAAAACGTTCAATCGTTCACGTTCATCGTCGTCGTCGTTTTTTCTTTCCCCGTTTTTTTCCGTACCCACGTGCCGGGGAATCTTAGAGGACTTCTTTCTTTTGTGCTTCTACTCCCTGTCCGTCTAACGCCAACAGAGGTTTATCCGTCGTTAGTTGCAACACTCCCCGTCGCGATTATCTCTATTTTTGGGAATAAAGTACTTGTTCGGTAATAGTCGTTCTCAAGTTGCCACAACCTTCCCCGTTCCGGACACAACACGTGCTTCTCATTTTTGGAGGGACAAACCGTTGTGCGACGGGTAGTCCCCATAACGAATCATCCTATGACCAATGTTCCGCTGTGACAAACGGGCCTGTTACCAATCGTACTGGGACGATTCGCCCTGTGACGAATGGAACGTATCCCATATTCAGCGATGTCGCTATTAGCAACTTTGAGCGATGGTGGTACCACTTGAGGATCGCGCTCCCTAGCCCCTAGATGATCGGCTTCAAAAGAAAGGTGCTTGCCTAGACCTTCCTAGCGGGGAAAAAAATTAAGTAAGACTCTAATACTACTTGAATAAAGCAAAACCACAATTACTTACGCGTCGCAGACCCCGCCTCTTACTGCTGTTCTACGTCGATCATCCAGATGACAGCTATTTGGTTAGGCACCAGCGCGCCCCTTATAGGTCGTAAAAGTTGGAAAAAGCTAAAGCGACCTCTTTTTTTTTTTTTTTTCTTTTTGTTTTATTCCAGAAATGTATTGTAACATGTATCAGTGATATTCTGCTCATAATGGTTGGACTGCATAAAATAACCTTACGATGTTTTTTCATTTGGTTTTGTTTTGCTTTTTCGTTATGTGTTGTTGCGTGCTAATAAACCATTCTGTTAAACCAGATTTGCGCAACCGTATAATTGTGTTTGTCACTGACGCCGATGCAAATTACGCAATGCGGAAGTATCTTTAAAAGTAATTTAATTACATTTATAAGTATTTGTATTCTACTCAAGATACTTCACAGTGAAAGTAACTTGAGTAGTATTTTAAATACTTTATGGAGCAGGTATTTACTAACTTAACTTAAAGGAGCTGTGCAACAATTTAAGTGCTTTGCTTAAATAATTTGGGAGTTGGTGTCTCGACCTTTCTGAAGTATAGAACAAAAAAAAACAAAAAACTTTTGCATGCATGTCCTAGATTTTCTTTTAAAATGGACAAAGATCGAGATTTTCGGCACCTCTCAACTCCTTCACCATCTTCCGAGTCACGTGCGCTGTGACGTCAATGGGGGTGGCGCGGGGTTCCGGTGAAGCTCTCTCTCCAGAGTCATCAGTGAGCAGCGAGAACTCATCCACTCGCGACCATGTGCTGGCGCAGCGCGAACAGTATGATGAAAGCAGGAAAGTCTCATCCGGGTCCAGCCGGCTCTGCCCCGTCCCCCTCCGGCTTCTGGCGGCTGTTCGCGGTAGCAAAGAGAGCTGACGGTTTTGTGGACCTAGGATAGATGGCGCCACTAAAACTCCGTATAGTAAAAGTTTTTGTCGATACCAGGTTTTTAACGCATTTATTTGTGTTGGAACGACAAGATTTATAGAAAAGTGACCTTTTATCGAGCAGGTATTCGCAAAGCTTGCTATCTTTCTAAAAGACCCCCATTGACGTCATGCCGCGTGGTTCTCAAGGCCGACGCTCGCGGCTGCAGGTCGGGGAATATTCTACTTTTTGCCTCGCGATTACGCGGCAGAATCGCAACATTTCGAAGGAAGGTGTGTTTTCTGTCATTTGTGACAAGATAAACAACGTCAGAAGTTTTTTCAACGTTAAAATCTTTGCAGAGCTTCTTCAAAGGGACAATAAAGACAATTTCGGATATATATGTATTTTTTTTTTGCGATTGGTCTGGGTTCCAGGCACGCCCCGGGCAACGTTGCCCAAATTTCAGCCAAAACCGGCGCTTGTGTGACACGCAAATCAATTAAACAGTCGCGGTAATAATCGTACCGGGATTGATTGCGGCGACGCCCCGAGAGTTGCGGGAGAAGCAAGGAGAAGCGGAGCTCGCGTGACGTTGCGGGGCCTAGAAGCGCGAAGTCACAAGAGACGCGTCAGCGATGGTCTCAAACGACAGACGTACCCTCGGTCACGTTTTGGTTCGCAATTTTTATGAACACTAAACCAATTTCCACTTGAATAACCATGAAAAGTATAAATCGGCCCGGAAATTATTACTAAACCGTAAAGAAAACAGCATAATTATTTTTCTCTTTGCTACGCTGGACGCGAAATGGGCGACGAGCAACTATGGGCAAACAAAATTGAAAAAAAAGAAAGGAAAAAAGCTTTCATCCTTTCCACTCTGGTGAAGAAGGAAGCGCAACAGAGCTGTAGCTTCTGTTCTCGGCGGTGGCGTTCCAGGCGAGCGATCTGCTCTTTCGCAAGGGAATCTGAAGCGCTCGACGCACGCGGCGGTTGCGGACCCATTCGCGCTGCAGAGTACGTCGCCGCTCCTTCCGCACCATATTCCGCACCCCGTCTTCTTAGAAAGGGCACGCGGCCGACCCATCGTGAGTCGAAACCGTAGGAAACGGCGCGCAAAGCAGACAAGGACGAATAAGAAACACACGTGACGTGCGCTGCGCTCGTCACGCGTGTTTTTTCTTCGTCCTCGTCTGTTTGTCCCCACAGCCCCGTCGTCAAGCTTTGCGAAGGAGCTCGGACTGAAAGAAAAGGTCCGCTTTTATCCCTGGAACTCCTTCTTTCCCAGAACCATAACAGAATGGAACAACCTACCTCATCACATATTTATATCTGACAATGTTTTGGAGTCGATTGAGCGTTTGTTTGATGTGTAACTCTTTGCATTGTGTTTTATTTGCCTGTTCCCCACTACCGCCACCCCTCCCAACTTTGTTGTGAGCTATTACATGTGCTTTATTACAATTTTTGCATAATTTTCCCCTGTTCCCCTCTCCCATTTTACGGATTACCTGGTGTTGCGCTTTTTTGACTCCACTTTTATAACCCCCAATCCTGCTTGGGCCGCAATTGGCCTGCAGTATTCCTAAATAAATAAATAAATAAAACTCTTCTTGGTCGATGGCGTCGCGTTCGAGTATTCTTGGGTCCCACTAGTGCCAGCAAGCTGGTGTAAAGTGAGAAACGTACCTTCCCAATATCGTTGCACAGCCCCTTTAATTGTTGCACTAATTCCACATACCTTCAAAATTTCGCCAGTTTTTTTCCCCCATGCAAAACGTCCCACTCTAGAAAAAAACAAAAAAAAAACACCCACGGTCTTTGTCCCAGTGCCGAAACACACTGTCGCCAAAAAAACGCTGTGACGGTCAATTTATAAATTAAAAGTAACGCAAGGATAACGTGCGTTACTTTTTAACAATAACGCGTTCCTTTATTTTTCAAGTAACGAGTAGCATATTTCATTAATTTATTTCAGTAACGACAACACTGGCATCAGCTCACCTGCGCATTAACACTAATTTCAGTCGTGGTTTCGCAGACTGAGCACTTTAAATTTGCTGGTTTGAGACATTTTGTTTATGGTAAACGTATGCATTGCAGATTCCCGTGTCTTCATATAGGGGTCAGCGGACTTGGGCAGAACAGGAGATACCTGCTCGCCCTCGACTTCTGTCAAATCGCCAGCGACGTAGACCTTCGGTTCCTAGAGTTCACCGGTAAGTAGGGTGATAAAAAATTCCGAGGTCACCTAAGCACTTTATGAGTTCTGAATGCGAAAGCATTAATGTCCAATTGAACGCCGCTGAGTGCTCCTTCCAGTTTTGCGCTGCAGCGCGAATAATGTTTTCGAGTTTTGCTGCGGGGTATGTGCGCCTGCCTGCCTCGTCGCTCGTTTTGCTGCGTACTTCCGCTCCCTTAGTTCGTCTGCGACGTACTGGCGTGGACTGCCACGTTCCGCTACGCGCCGAGAGGAGCAGAAGCGGCCGCAGCGCCGGAAGGGAGTGCGGCGGTGCGCCGCGCAGAACACCCCGACTCGCTACGCTCGCTGTGGCTGTTGCGCCGCTGGTTGAGGGAGCGACGGGAGTGCGAAGCTCGGCGCGGCGCGTGCTGAAACAACGTGTCTTATCATCATCGCCCTAGCTGGGGGTACCGGTTGACGACGTTAGACCTCAAAGCATAACGTTAGGCCTAATGTCAGGCCAGTGCATACCCGCGTTCCCCCCTCCCGCTGCGCCTCGATCCAGCCTTTCGGCTGGTCCCTTAGCAACGATGACGCAGTTGCTACCGAGCTGCATGACGCTTCGCAGCCAATGGGAATTCAGGTGCTGTTTCGCTCAGCCAATGGGAATTTAGGAGCTGTTTTTGCTGCTACAGATAACGCCGGCTTCGCTTCAGGGGACAGTTACTGCTTTCGCATTTACAAGCCTGGTGATTGCGGAACCGTTTTCGATTGTTCGACAGTGAGTTGTACAGTTTGTGTGCCCCGCAGAGCCGTATTACATGCCCCGGCCAAACCACCTCAAAGGACGGCAGTGGATGGGCAGCGCTCTCTACTTCAACCTCACCTCCATCGCCAACGGGGGCCTTCAAGAAAGCGCCGTGAGTTGATTTGCGCAGTTCAGATAGGTAGTCCAATAGTGCCCACCAATATGAAAGACTTGCTCGGTAGCGCGGTGCCGAGAGAGCGGCTGGTGAGGGCGCTGCTCTCGTTTTCTGCACAAAGCCCCGTGATGTGTTTGCGTGCTCGTTTTAAAAGAGACGTCAAATGATGCACGAGGCCGGTGCCCCTTGCTTTGATGCGAACGGCGGCGGAGCAGAAAGTTCCCAGGACAGTTGTTGGTATAGCTATAGTAGAAACGCGAATCGTGCATTTGATCAGGGGGTTTTATTTGGCCAATTCCATGTCGCTTCGATTCAGTTTGGTTGCGTTATCGAGTTTCGCTCCCCTTAGAAATATAATAAACTGACAAGGAACCAGTGGTTTCCCTACACCCCCTTGGGGGGGGGGGGGGGGGGGGGGCGGTGTAGGGAAATCATGGGAGGGGTGCATTTGGTGACATGCTGATTGCATTAGGATGTTCTAAATATTGTTTCTTTGTAATGTCTGTTCACGAGACTCGATGTTTGTCTAATATGGACGTCGTACAGAAAAAGATGCACTTGTGCAGCTTTCTGAAAGAAAGAAAAATGCGTTTACAAAATTACATTCCTGATTTTCAAAACTTTGAAGTCTCTTCATTGTACACTCAAAACATTGACGAGCCATGAAAAGTATGTAAGCTAACTAAGAAAAAAAAAAATATATATATATAATTTTCTTACGAAAATGATAAAATCTGATTTACGGCACACACATCAAACGTGCGCGTGTCGTACTTGACTAGTGGCGTCGATACTGGTTTGATAACCACAATAAAAGACCAATGCTATATTCACTACGTAGTGCGGCTCGACCGGAAGCAATGTGCAGGTCTCGCGGGCCCGGGAGGGTCCCTATCATTTCGTCGAAACTCGTATCGTGGACAACTTTTCCTGGACACACGTTTCGTCGACACGATCGTTTCATCGGCAAACGTTAAGCGAATTGCACGCTGTAGGGACATTTGGTCTCGCACGTATCACTGAGGTGCGCGCGAGCGAAAGCTTGCGCCGCAGAACCTCCCGGGTTCGATCCCCACCCCCCGCCCGTTTCGTACTGGCACCTGTTCGTGTAATCACTGCTGGGTGATGAAGTTTAAAACCCCAGGTTAGTAGGTTGTACTGCACTGGCTAAATTTCTCATCTACAGCTAAGAGACCGGTCACCCGTTGAGGCGTACCAACATCAAGGCTCTGTAAAAATGCATGCAATACAATTTGCACGGCGGCGGGGGATCGGTGGTCGAGGGGGCAAACGCGTCTCAGTTCGGAGCGTGGAGTGAAAGCTTCCGCCTCCTGGGCTCGATTCCCAACCCCCACCAGTTTTGATCTGGATGAGTTTCGTACAGGCACGTGTTCGTGTGATCGCTACTGCGTGGGGCACGTTAAAGACCCCAGGTTCTCGAAGTTAAAGACCCCAAGTTCTCGAGGGAGTGATTGGGAAGAATATACAATGCAAAAAAGATGGCATCTGGTGATCTCCTAGTGGAGATACATAGTAAGCAACAAATTGATTAGCACTAAACTGTCTGACTGATGACAAAGTCACTGTCACACCTCATAGAACACTTAATACAATTCAAGGGGTGATCTCAGAAGACGACCTGCTCGAGAGGACAGAAACCGAAGTAATTGAGGGCCTTTCTACACAGGGAGTAATTGCTGCTCGGCGTATTACCCTTCGCCGCGATGGTGTTGAACGCAAGACCAAACACATCATCCTAACATTTGAGTCAACCACACTTCCTGAAGTTGTGGAGGCAAGATATCTCCAGTGCCGCGTCCGCCCCTATGTGCCAAACCCTCAGCGGTGTTTTAAGTGCCAGCGGTTTGGCCATTGGTCCCGGAACTGTCGAGCAAGTGACACCTGTGCCAAGTGTTCTAGCAAGGAGCACGTCGCTGATGCGTGCGAGAATGAGCCCCAGTGTGCTAACTGTAGCGGTAAGCACCCAGCGTACTCCCGATCTTGCCCATTATGAAAACAAGAAACAGAAATCAATACCTTGAAGGTTACCGAAAGCATATCATACGCAGATGCAAAGAAGCGCTTCGCCTTTGTTTCCAAAGGCTTTTATGCCGAGGCCGTGCGCAGGGGACCGGTACGGCCAATGGTTTCGACTGGAACGCAGACGTCTACGGACGATCTGCGCCTCCCGTCGAGGTCTCCTTCGTCCTCGGGAGCGTTGCCAGTGGCCCCGCTTCCGAATCGTAAGGTGGATGCTGCCTCCTCAGCATCCACCTCGAGCAGGGGCCGACCCCTCCTGCTCCACCTGCCACTTCGACCCCTAAAGGCCTAGGGCTACCCCCTCGGCCCTCATGCTCCCCAGAGGAAGCCCGGGGAGCCGCCGAAGCAGTCGACCTCCAAGGGTCGGCTGCCGGCGGCGACAGACGAGCCCATTGACGAAAGTGGGCCCAGGTCCGAGGAGGATGCTCCCCTCTCAGGATCAGAGTCCTCTCTTTCTGTCGCCAGTGACTGAGGCAGAAAGACCCTCCTAAAAAAACAGAGCACGCCACGTGTTAAGATAGATTTTAAACCTTAAAATCTCCCTTTTAAGTCGCTTTTCGTATATAAACATTTTTCCTCTCTAAATGGCTAAGTATAGTATCATGCAGTGGAATTGTCGCGGCCTTTTATCTCATATTGATGACATAAATTTTTTTCTCGATGAGCTTCGACCTGTGGCCATATGCCTACAGGAGACTCATCTTAGGGACAAGCATGCAAAAGTTTTACGCCGCCATCAAGTTTTCAGAAAGGACCGTGCATCATCTAGGAACTCGTCTGGTGGAGTGCCTGTTATTGTCCAGAGCGGTCTAGCCTGTGCTCCGGTTCCTCTCACGACCTCGCTGGAGGTAGTGGCAGTTCGTGTTGTTCTTGACCTCCTTATTATACTGGTTTCAATCTACCTACCACCAAATATTTCACTGCGAAAGCTGGCTAGCGAGGTCTTGAAGGTCCTGCAGATGCAACCTTTTTTTTAATTTTAGGAGATCTTAATGCGCACCACCCCATGTGGGGCTGTGCACGCCAAGACTCCCGTGGTGGGGTCATTGAACGATTTTTATCACCTGGCCTTTGCCTTTTAAATGGAAGTGATCAAACTTTTTTAGCGCATCTCATAATACTTTCACCTCTATAGATGTGTCTCTTTCATCACCATCCTTACTTCCATGCTTTTCATGGAAGGTTTTAGACAATCCCTTTGGAAGTGACCATTTTCCTGTGATTTTAGAAAGTACGGCATCGCTCCCTTCTCTTCGAACCAGCATCCCCAGGTGGAAGTTGGATGAGGCGGACTGGGCTCTTTTTGCGTTGGAAGCGGTACTTGACTCTACCGAATTTTTATCTGTCGCCTGAGAATGCAATTTTGTACATTACTGACCGAATCATAAATGCAGCAGGGGGGAAGAGGCACCCGAGTGTGATTTCTGCTCTGAACCCCTAACTATTCTACATATTCTTAGTCTGCCCGAAATTTGAAGGTGAACGTCACAAACATTTTGCATTGTTTTACCATGAGCATGTTCCATTTCACCTGATGCTTTTGCTTGGGGATGAACCTCCCATACCACATAAGCAGGTTTGAGTTCTTGAAGGATATTGGCCTTAATTTGTGTGCTGCTTTACGAGAGCTGACTATGTTGTTGTCAACATGTCCTTTCTATTTCTTTATCATAGTTCTGGCGCACTATGGCCTTTGTTGCTGATGCGCCAAAAAAAACCCAATTTCATTCATAAATGCAGCATCTATTTCTATTGCACAAACATCGGGGAATCTTCCGAAGCGGTGCAAGCCTTGGTGGACCAAGGAGTGTACTGCCACACGCAAGTCTCAGAACAGGGCTCGGGCACTTTTTGTCGCTACCCAAGTAGCAGGAACAAGATAGAATTAAAAAAAAAAAAGTAAAGCAAAGGCTCGTTGGACAAGGAGGCAAGCCAAGAGGAGTTCGTGGATGAAGTATACGTTTCCAAAGTGAACAGTTTTGTTTCTTTAAAAAGGAGGTGTGGGACCGAGTGAGAAAAATTTGGGGCAATTATCTTTCTTTTAGGATACCTCTTTTACCCTCAGCTATGCCAACATTAAAGGGTCAGGCAAATTGTCTTGCAAATTATTTCCAAGACGTTTCAGAAATGCAGGGCTATAGCGGAAAAGCAGCCAATTGCCATGTCTGGATCAGATGCTCTAGAATATAACCAGCCTTTCACATTGTGTGAACTTGAGGTGGCCCTTGCAACAAAAAAGGAATCTGCACCTGGACCTGACAGAATTAAATACGAAATGTTGCGGCACTTGTCCCTTGAATCCCTAGGACATCTGTTGACTTTTTTTTTTGCCGGAAACGCAGCTTTAACTTTGAGCTTTGACACGGCGTGGCGCCACCTTCGTGTAGGGCTTGGTGAGCATTCATGTAAACGTTGCCGCGTCGGCATCCTTCGGAGGACGATTGGAGTTGATGCGCTAAAGTCGTATTCATGTAAACGCGGCTAGTGATGTTCTCAATTTAAATCGACTTAACGCAGTGAGACGTGACGTCACGGGGTCACGTGACGTTACTTGACATGTCTTGCCTCCATGACGTCACTGACCACGTGACACATGGTTAACCATAGTGGCAATAGAAAAGCGCCACGAAAACCCACAATTTCTCATACTTTGAAATTCTGTATATGGCGATTTGATCAATACATAGAAATACAGCTGCCAGTGCTCGATTCCCAAACACTATAAAACCATTAATGTTCACGCGCCCCTAATTTTCGCGAATGGGCACGAATATTAATCTGTAGAGGCAAATTCCAGCCTTCAAAGAAATTGCGAAATTTAATAACCGCCTATGCGACCCCGCTGCCCAATTCGCGAAAACTCGGGGTCCCAAAAATAAAAGGGTTTTATAGTACTCATTTTTGTAATACAAACAGCAAAAAAAAAAAAAAAAAAAAAAAAAAAAAACGCACCGTTTTGAATTGGTTACCGTTACATTTTTTTCCGGTTCAGTTCTAAGATGGCAGCCAAGATTTCGGTCCGGTTCACTTCCGGTTTGGCGAAAAATAGCGGTTTGGCGAAAAATAGCGGTTTGGCGAAAAATAGCGGTTTGGCGAAAAATAGCGGTTTGGCGAAAAATATCGGTTCGGCGAAAAATAGCGGTGCGGTTCGGGTTCGATACCCTGATTCAAATATAACTTTCTCTAATTACCTTTTAGAAGAATATTGAACATGCACTTACTTACCCGGTGGTCCCAGGTTACCAAGTGCCGACGGTGCATGCTGGCAATATCCACACTTCAGTTGTGGGGTATTCGTACCGAGCGATTCAGTTTCCACGAGGTAGCCTATGCACTCAGTCTTCCTCTCAAAATTCAGAACACGTCTGTTTGTCATAGCCGCCATGGCGACCTAAATAAAAAGAAATTAAGTCCTCCTACCCCGATATGTACCCAAAATAAATCATGTTTGTACAAGTAAAAAAAAAAAAGTATATCAAGCTTGTGGCAGTTCCCCACACCTCGCAGAAATTGGCCACGAAAGAAAAAGCCCGTCGGTATTATGACAGTCGCCCGACCGCCACCGCCGTGCACCGCTCTTCCGTCCCAACCAACAAATCACGCCGCGCGCTGGCGGTCAAGGCGGCGAGAAGTCTGGTCGTTTGGTCGCATGAGATTACGTGTGTAGTTTAGGAATCCGTAACACAGAAAAAGCTAAACGAACTCACTCGCTCTCTTCTTGTGCCTTTGTTATTGAACCTCTTTTTTTTCCTCCCTCCCTCTCCACCCTCCTTCGCGGGGACTGTTTGGTTTTTCCAAATTATTGCGTAAAGGGCGATTTATACATTTCCAGTTACACTGGGTCGGACTCGACGCAAGTGTGCGAATCGCTATTAAAGGTTACGAGTTGCTCCTATCGGGTATACATACTGGAGGTAAGCAATGTCCAAGCCACACAGGGTAACCGAACTTGAGCGCGAACAGCAAGACTGGCTGGAAGGTTACCAGGGGTTTCCACAGGAATTGAAATTAGGGGGGTGTCTAAATTTTTAGGGGGGGAGGGGGGGGGTAGAGGAGTTGTTGCGAATTGAGGGGGTGCCTTCAGAAAAACAAGGGGGGATGTAGGGAAACCACTGAAGGTTACAATGATGAAACCTTTAAAAACGAAGCCCGTCGATCACCTCTAAATAAGAGGATACATCCGTTAATATGTGTAGCCATAGAAGTTACTGTTAAGAGTGTAGAGCCGCTGCAGGCAACCCTCGTGCCCTGCATATATTGTCTACGGACTGACTGGTCGCACAGAGTTTAGTCGGCCAATACAAGTGGAGCCTGATTTTTCTACATTTATTTCTTTATACAGTTTCGATTCGACCTCCTAATTGAAGTCGAGGACATGAGCTTTGCTTGAGCGCTTGCGCAAGGAATACCCATCCTAAAGTACGCTCTAGTATTTGCGCCTTTGAGATGGAGCCCTGACTGCAATTGGCTCCATGGCATTGTTTCTGCTCCAGATGACCCTGAAGGTGGACTGCGAGTACGAGCCTACACTGCGACTCCTCGAACTGAGGGACGATCACTTACCCTCGGGCACGTCAGCCATCCGCTTCACACTCAAAGGAAGCGAGTTCTTGGTGGTTTCCCTCACGAGTGAGGTACGTTATGCAGTGTTTTCTTCGTCGCGACTTCTCGCAATCTGTCATTCGCTCACCAAATCTGTCGGTTATTGTTCAGTAATGCAATACCGTGTTTCAAGACCAAACTTAAATCGGTACTCGAATATCTTGTCTGTTGACACATTGGCACGTTTCAGGAAGAGGGCGATAGCGCGAGAGGACCGACAGCGTGTCTAGCCATAGATGACTTGTGTGAAAGGCGATGGCGATGGGTCGGCGCGCGCCCCGCAGTCACGTGGGTTTTTGCCGGACACCGCCGGATTTTGCCGCAGAAATGCGTGCCGCTTTGCCAGAGTGCCATAGAGCATTCGAAAAATAGCTGAGGTGGCTGTAATGTCCATGATGTCCATGACTTGTGGTGCGAAGGAAAAGAGTGAAAGTCATTTTTGTTTCTGAGGAGGAGGAGGGAGGGGGCTCGACTGCAGCAGGCATCTCGACTGCAGCAGGCATCTTCAGACGTCTCGAAAACCGGAAGTTGCCGTCGCAAATATTTAATAAACTGCCGACTATCGGCAAACTTCTGCCGCCGTAAGTGTGAAATATGGGCTTGTAAGAGTGACCAGCATCGTGTGACTGGTCACTCCACTCATTCTCCAGCAGGAGTTCGCAGTCTTCGAGCAGTCTTACGGTAACTACATTAATTTTTATACTGACGGAGCAAATACATCAAACTTCGTAGGTTGTGCAGTTTATTACATCGCATTCAGTAAAGCCACAAAACTTAACCCTATTGCCAGGATTTTCGCTGCAGAATTGTATGGGATCTCATTAGCGATCCACTATATAGCAGACAATAATATAATGCAAGCACTTCTCTTTGTCGACTCCCAGAGTTCTCTCATATAAATATCTCCATTAGCTGAGAGTATGAACCCTGATCAATAGGCCCTTCAGCTTGAGCATAGGAAAATTTTGCAGATGCCCAGCCAGGTGGGTATTTTAGGTAACGAGAAATCAGATGAGCTCGCTGCCTCTTCGAGGGAATGTATCAAAGCATCTCTCGGCCTGTCCCACATGCAGAACTTCATACCATCAAAGCTGTCTTGAACTCTTGGGGGTGTGGGAGAGTTCCTCTCGTAGAGAACGCCGTTCTGAGGTCCTTCTGCACAGGGGTTTCCCCTGGAATTGAAATTAGGGGGGGGGGGGGGGTCTAAATTTTAGGGGGGGGGGGGCATTGAGAATAGAGGAGTCGTTGCGAATCAAGGGAATGCCTTCAGAAAAACAGGGCGGGGGGTGTACACTCCCCCCCCCCCCTCTAGGGGGTGTGTAGGGAAACACTGCTTCTGTGTAGCTTACGAATTGGTCACCCCCGTCTGACTCGTCTGTACTTGCTTTGTGGGAGGATGTGAAACAACGCTGATCTCGTTTCCCATAACCTTTTTAAAGATCACCTCCCCTTTCATTCACATTTTTTTTTTTCACTTGGTGACCAACCTTTAGTACCATTCCATCTTGTCAGATTTTTGAAGGGCAACTCCGCTTCATTTTTGATATTTAGAAAACTATGTAGCCCTCTTCAGTATCATATAGGAAGACCCCATGTCAAATATTACGATCTAATTCCGTTTATATATTTAATAAACTGGCCAGGCAAACCTTCAAGCGAGCCAACTCGCCGAAATCTGCCAACTCTAGCGTGCGGCGCGAGGCGCAATCATCAGCGCAGTCAATGCTACGGAGTTGGAGCAGCCGACATTGAGCCACTACGTCAGAGGCATGACTACGTCATTCTCACGTTTTGCTTGTTTTTACTTCTCAGAGCGAAATTGAACGATGACGTCATGAGTTTCTCCTCACGGTGTTGGCTGACCGGGCGTTCACGTGATCACCGTAACACGGATGCGCTAGTTTGCGCTTCCCTGCGCGCTTATCGGTCTGTTTATCCGCTCCCCTTCTCTTTCGTCTTCTCACCTTCCTCCTCTCCCCCGGGCCATCACCGTCCACGTCATGCGAAGCGACCTGCCCGCGTCGCGTGTCCTGTCCCGCGCTCCCTCCCGAACGTCACAAGACCACGTGGTTCGACGTGACGTGGCCATGACTCTGACGACCCGAGGCCAATGTTGCCTGACGCAGCCGAAGTTTCGGTTTCGGTGTCAGCTGATGTTTAAATTAGGATTACACAAATAATATTCTACATTTCGCGAATCCGGAGACGTAGAGTTGTTTAGTAGTGCTTTGTGAATTTGGTTCACATATAAGCCTAAATTGTTCGGAATTGAGCGGAGTTGCCCTTTAAAATAAGGTTGGCTCTTTGCACCAGCTGGAACTTCACTACTTCTTCGATACTGGTGGGGCTTCTTGTGTCTGGCCCACTATGGCTTTAGTTGCCTATGTGCCACTAAACTTGCAATCATAAGAACCACCTAGCAGACCAGCCCTGCGCTTCCCCAAACGTCCTCACTAGTGGATTCACTCGGCGCCGCTTATCATGCGTCAGCAACGTCGCAGAAACTCCGTGAAATGCACTAGCCTTATATCATTCAAAATGAGTTGATTTAGTGGTTTTTGATTATGCTCAGCAGGTTTCTAATTGGAACCATGTATTTATTTACTAATAAAAGAAATTATTAGTAAATGTTAGCTAATTATTTAGCTAGTTTTTTTGCTTGTTTGTTTTTTGCACTTGGTGACGTCCGCCGTAACTGGCAGGTTCTCGTAATGTTTTTTTTTTTCCTCAACCCCTTCATTTTGAGAGTTTTAGGGATTTTCGCAAGCCTTCACTGGAACACCATCTACATATGGCGCGTGCTTTGCTCGTTTTCCGATGCCACAAGCGCACGTGTGCTGGGCTGTGGAGGTCGCACGCTGGGCTGTGGATCTGTAAACATTAAAAATATGCACAGGGGCTGTCCACTAGACGACATATATGAGTGCACTGCCCACAACGCATGCTTGCTCAGAACGAGCTCACCTATTGCCAGGTGCCTGTCGTTGGTTTGGCGCGTTAAACCCCCAAAGTTTTAACGAGTTCACCTATGTAGGCTGCCAAGACTGACAACCTTGATGCTGTGGAATGCACGTTGCAAATTAACTGCAAGCTGGCCGTCAGCACGCGTTTCAGAAGCCGCGGACTCTGCTATGGCCGCCAGTCCGCATGCACATATGACATCCAGACACCGTTAAGAGACGTCTTGAGTAAAGGATCGGTTCACATATTCGTATAATGAGCTGTTCTCCGTATCTTACGGTTTTGCGGTGAGCTTTTTTCCGCCCCCCTCCGCTTAACACAGTGCTGCACAGAGATTTTTCTGAGCATCATGCTCGCACTTGCATATCTGGCCTTCGCTCGCACTTATTATAAAACAAAAAAAAAAAGTATGACGCAATACAAATAGCTGCTTTACAAAAATACATGCCTTATAACTGCTGCACCAATTATCCGAGGCAGTCCTTATTTGATCTGAGCACGTACTGGACAAAATTTCTGCGTCAGCATGAGGCCGGGCACTCCGCTTCATGCCCAATCGCTTTTCGCTAAGCTATTTCATTGCGACTGCCAATGTTGCTTGATGGGGTTTTGTAAAGTCTATTGCTGAATAAGATCGTAATATTTATTTATTCCTTCTGGTCCTTCCGTTTAACTTTCTTGAAAGTCTATAAATATGTTTCAAATACTAGCGATTGGTTTTTTTTAACACTTAATTGTTTCTTTGTTTTTTTTAATTTTGAAATGAGGTAGAAAGAACCGGAAATTTGTGTTAGCCATGAAGGGCAGTTTTCAAGTCCCATGAGAGGTGAGGGGGCGAAAAAGGGAGGTAGAATACTGAAGGGATTGGCAAAAGATCGACATCGGAAATATAGCTGCAAAAATAAAACAAATGATCTGGATTTCCAGGTTCGTGTCAGCAAGGACACGTTGGCGAGAAAATTTCTACTCGTGCGCAAGTCTGAGATGACTAGGTAGGTTCTGAAGATTCCTTTATTAGTACATTTGGGTTCGTAGACGTATTTTTGTTGGTGTTCTGATGAATCATAATTGTACACGGATAATTCAACGAACTTTGAAATATACCCGTCGTGTTCAGAAATAGGCTGAATATAATCCACAATATCCGTAAATGACAATCGCACGTTTGTATCTTGAGCGTGATGGCTGTATTTTTCGTTATAAACGGCCTACTCTGGCAAGCGTTCGGAGAGCAGCCAGTGGAGGGCACGTCACATCCGCCGCAATCGTGACGTAGTTTGTCTCGGGACCTTATGTCCGGACGCAGCGGACGCCTGCGAGCTATCCCAGCCAATCCCGCACTGTGGACGTAGCCCGTGGTACGCATTCCGCGCGTCGCTGTGCCCCCTTTCCAAAATCACGTTACATTCACACGGCCTTGGATAGGCCCCGATGGCTCGTAGCATCCGCTGAAAGCAGGCGAAGTACACCAGCGATCGGGCCACCGCAAGTGACCCCAAAGCTGTCATTTTGAGTGATGGTTTAATCTGCTATAATCTTGTAGAGGGGGTCAATAGCGACTTCTGGGACACACAAGAGTCTCGGGGAGAGGGGAGTTCCTGCTTCAGCTCTTCTCTCGTCGTGGCCGAAGGCGAAACAGTTACCCTCACAACCTATCAAGGTTCCTAGACGGGCATTACAAACGAAGCGTTAGCGACTTCCACCAGGCGCTCTTTGCTAATCGTTTAATTCGTTTTAAAGTTCCTTTTCGTGACTTTTTCGACAAGACTGGTGTGTCTGGTGTGATAATGCTCCACTGAACACGAATAGACCAAGAAATAAGCGCCGAAATTCCGACGTAGTATCCCTTTAAGAGGGTTGAATCTCACATTTCTTTCAGGGGAAATTTCAGCCCTCAGTGTTACCGCAGTACGCCATCCAGAAACCATCTCGATTACTTCCCCAGAGCAACTGTCCGGCAGTCGATCTCCCAACCATACGGGGAACAACGCTGCTTCACCCAAACAGACTATCGTACCAAAAACTTAGCGACAAGAGCTGTTAGAAGCGAATTCTCGGACGCCATTTCGACCTCCGGCTCGCACGTTCGACTCAATGCCTTCGACCAGACACAGCAAGACTTCTTCGGCGGCAGCTGGAAGTCGATGCCTGCCGCTCAGCCGCCCATTCCGCACCCCATGTGGCAGCCTCGGGGAGCCCCGAGACCCAGCTGCGTGCCGACCAGCGGTCACCTGGAGCTGACTACCCTGTTCCAAAGGCTGCAGAACTCGAAGGCCAGGCCGCTCACGGAACCATGTCTCCCAAGTCGCAGCTTCGTCGCTCCGAACGAAGCTCGACCGTCGGTGCCGCCGTTCGCGTCCCAGCCGCAGGACTTCGACTGGCCGAACAACGGTTCCGCAGCTCCGCCCGTGCTGAGGGTCAACTACGACATCGTGCCCGGCAGCTACCTTCACTGGGTGGCGCTGGCCAGGAGCAGCCTTGCTAGGCAAGCCGTGGATCAGAGCCAGCCTCAGCAAGTCCAGCCTTCTCAGCAGCTCCAGCAGCAAGAGCGGCAACAGACGAAGCAGGAGATGGATACGCAAGTCTCTTCACAGGCAGCTGCGCCAGACGAAAACGGCGCAGAGGACAGCAGCGCTGGGATAGCTGGACACTCCGTAACCTATTTTTTGCCCTGAGTCTTTTTTCTTTTTCTATTCAGCGGGTTCGCCTTTATTTCTAAAACGTTTGATTGCCTTTATTAATAAAAGTTTGCTAATTTCTGTCACATAATACCTTGAAATAACGATTGTAATTTTTAGGCCATTTAATCTTGTGTGTGAAGAATGTGCAGACCCTTTTCAAAAGTCCGCGCCATCACCTGTCCGCCATTGCTTGATCACTTACTTTGAGCATGTACTGGATACGAGGG